CGGGGGCGGGTGCTCGAGGACCATGGATGCTGTCCCATCGCTGCACACATCGGTGGTGTTGGGCGTCGTGAGGTCAGGACTCATATATTCCTCCATTCCTACGGAATTATTCGTGCCGCCGTAATCCGAGCAGCTCCTCGCCGCAAAATCGCAGAATATCGCATTGAAAGCCTCCTCTTCCGTTACATATTGACCATCCGGCTTCTTACCACTACGACACGCAGTCCAGTTGCTCTCGCCGAATAGACGCCAGTGCACACCGGAATCCTCGCTCCCACACGCACCATACAGCCATCGCCATCTTTCTTCGCGTACACGTGCGAGCAGCAGCAGCAGTAGAGTGGCCGAATTCGGCGAGCAGATCTGCACACCAAGTGGAGAATAGAAGGGCAAAAGAGAAATACAAGGAGGTGCAGCAAAAAGAGACACACACATCGTCGCAGCGTCGCCGTTGCGTGCGCGGTAATGATGCGACCTCCCGCGGCAGGCACAACTCGCACACTGCACGCACCGCAAAACGGCATCCACACAAGAAACACGCACACACAACAACAGAACAGCCACCACAAACTAGAAGGAGGAGAGAACCACAACCATCTCCCCACACTTGCACAACAAACGGCCCTCCCTTTCTATGCGAGACAGTTGCCGCAAGCCTGCCATCGTTCCGCTGCATGCTCTCAGCGCCCACAGTGGGAGTCAGCGAGGCGCACAAGTGAGAAACAAAACGCATCTCACTCCCGTCGGGAGAAATAAAAACACCGTAACGGCAACAACAACGGTGCAAGGGTGTCGCATCGGATGGTACGATGGCGTTGTTGGCGTCCAGATCAATGACGCGTGCCCTCGAAAATACGCGTGGAAGATACCGCACGTACGACTGCAGGGTCGCGTCCGCAGATAAACGGCATTCGGAGCCAAGTCTGCCTCTCGGTGGCAAAGATGGGTCAGGAATGTCGTCGGAGAGGCACCACGGCAGACGGCAGGGTAGAGCAAGGTACCGCACAAGGGACACAAATATTCGCCTGCCTCGTCCCTGGAGAAGCACAACCAATTTGGCCGGGGTTATCTCGCCCTCTGGCGATGGCAAATTTTTAAAGAGTCTCGCGGTATTGGGGAGACTCGGCAATGCCCCAACGTGCTTGCCGCGATTCCACGAGAATGTGGACGGTCTGCATTTGTCCATGCACGTCACAGCCGATAGGCGCATCATCGGGGATACGGTTTGAGTGCGCACAACGACGGTTACTTGCCTCATGCCACATCACGGGCAGGCCGTCCCTCATCAATCCCTGCAGGATTCGCCTACGCTCCTCCAAGGAGTACTGGGGGCATCCGTTGTGCTGCACGCGGATCGCATCATCTTCCATAACAGCTCCATTCACCAAAAGACCGCGGCTAAACAGCCCGTCCACAACAATCGTCAAGGGACCGCCACCCACCGCGTGCTGAGGTGGAAAACGCACGCGATGAATACGTCTCCGGTAGGTTTCATCGCAAATACACAACCGCTATTCCCTCCGTCACTGTGTTGTCATCACCGCAGCAGCAACGCACCAGTGCAGGCCATGTTGGGCATGATGGGAGAGAAAGTCCCATTCTCCGAGCCATGATGTCATCAAGAGAGTCAGACGGCTGCTCTGCCACGGTGATAACGTGCCCCATCGGGCGCAACATAATATCAGAGTCCAGCAGATTGGAAGGCGCGGTTGTCGCCCCGCCAATAAGAGAAATGCGCGCCACCACACGAGGCTCCGCTGGCATTCCCGCCTCCATATTGTGTTCCCTCAGTAACGGACTCTGCGTCAGCACCGTCGCCACACTGGTAGGTCTGGATGTGTCTACAGCACGGCACGCGTTGCTGCCACCGCCCGCTCCTCCCCTGTTTGCTCACCACCCATCGTCATGCGGCAGCAATTGAGGCAAACCTCGATTGGTTCCGCCTGCAAGTCCCCCGGCATCTGCTCGATCCACCGCCATGGAAGAACGGCGATGCGCAGCGGCGGAGCATTTGATCGTATCAGCAAACAAATTGGAGAAAAAGGACTCAACCACACCCAAAAGACTCCCAACAGGAAAAGGTACGCACGGCGTGGATAACACAACTCAAAGTAACGCTTCCAACACAAAGCGTGAATGACTCTGTCGACGCCACACCCGCACCGCATGCCACCAACTCCTCCACGGCAAAAACAAACTGGCAAGAGGGAAAAGAAATAAACGCTTCGAGAGAGCAAAAAACACCACTGCAGCACCGCATCCCTCACAACGTCGTCAATCGGCCTGAGGCCTGTCGTCTCGAATCCACCTGGCGTACACCTTTCTTCCGGCACTTTTGTTGAAAGGCGGTCATCCACCAGCCGCGATCCGTCGGTCACACGAGGAGTGCAGGCAACAGGCATGTCTGTCGCACCCTCCATCACCCTCACAAAGCGTCGAATTGTCGTTGGCAGGAGTAGTGTTGTTTCTGCTCCACGCGTCTCCATCCCCTGGGAGAAGAGACACGCCGACTGCTGCCACCAGTTCCTCCCCCGTCGCCTCCCTTCCTCCACAAGTCTATAATATTCCGCAGAGTTGCTCATGGCAGTGTCTCCGCCATCCCGCACGTGAAACAAATTAAACTTCTTCTCCCTTAGACCCAAAGCGACCAAAGCAAAAGCGAGCCGGACATCCAACGGCTGCACTGGCCCAACCCCAAAAAGCCGCACCAAGTACACAATGACGGGATCGCGACGGCAACACCGCAGAAAAATAGGGTCCACTGCGGAGACTAGTTTGTGCTGCGCACAGTTGCGGTGTCGCCGGACTTATCGCATCGCCAAAAACAAAAACAATAATCCTGCAGCGTGCGGGGAGGACGTTTCACAAGCGCATCATCGACGGAGCCAAACAACTGTACCGTCAGCAGAGGGCAGCGGGTGGCGGGGAAGCGAAGGTGGTGGAACTGTTGGGAGGGTCGATGCGCAGTGTCCCCCACAAATACGAGGCGGATGAGGCGAAACACACTCGCCTGAACGTCACCGGCCACCACAATGCATGGCTCCCTGCCGGGAATATTGATGAGCTCGAGCCTGGAGCAACTACTCGCAGTGCGTGAAAGCGTCTTCCTGCACTGACGCCGAGATTCACATTAGACGGGCAACTTCAGCACAGTCGATCCCCAGCAGTAAAATGCAGCTGGCAGTGACGCTGCGGATTCCCGATTTTCCCGGGCAACGGAGGGCGGAGAAGAAAACTGGTCTCCCCAGCTGCGCGGCATCCATCCATCCACTCTGTGCGCTCGGAGTGCCCCGCAGCTGCCTTGAGAGATGCAGCGGACAGGCCTCCGTTAGTTTCGCCTCGATCCGTCGACGAAGAATTTCGCGGTGCTGTCGGCACACACCGAAGTCTCCCTCGTGCCCGCCAAACAAAACACACACCCGTTGAGCATCGTCACGTGCGTCAACGGCCACGCAAGTAAATATCCACCGCAACGCAAAGTGCTTCTTATTGGGCACCAAAAGAAACCTGGAGGCGGCGGCCTCGACAACACACAACAAATCACACGCCAGGCAACGCTCAGATACATGCGAATGGGCCAACGCGGGATGAGCAGCACAAACACTCGAGAGCTGCTGCGTGAAATCCACGGCAAATGGATCAGCCTCAACGCGTGGGCAATAATTACGGCGGGTGACAGCGCAAAAGCCAACGGTTCCGCAAGGCCGGGAATTGTGGGGACGGCATCCAAACCCTCCTGGGATTCGTGTGCCAAGACACGCAAATAATCCGCCTCTCGGTGAAAATCGTCATCGTCCTCATCGTTGTTTTTGCCGTCATTCGTATTGCCACACTCAAAGCCGTGAGGGAAGGTGCTGCCATGATGATTGCGACATCACCCTGAATGAAGGAACGCAATGCCTCGAAGGGTGCCGAGTGCAGGCATCCCGTCAGGCAGCGACACGCCGCACTTCTGAAGAAAGCCGATAAAAGACCGTAGAAAAAGCTTTCATCCGCCATCGTAATATCGTCCAGCGGGTTCGGCCTCTTATTTCTCCTTCGGCGCCTCGTCCCTCTCCAAGACACCACAGCCGCTGCCGTGCACCACGCTCCTGTTGCAATCACTCTCACAAAGAGGGAGGAGTGTGTGGATGTGTGCCGAGAGCACAGCGACCGTCATTGCCAGAGGAGGCCATCGTGGCACCGTCCGTCACGCGTCAGCAGACAAAGAGCAGGCAACGCCATCAACCGGCAAAGCAAAAACAGAAGGCAGAGCACTGTGCAAATACCTATTTGTCCTTGTGCTGGAGGAGCAGAAGAAAAGGGAAAAGGAGCACAGGAAGGCAAATCAACAAAGCAAGAGGCACAGCTGAATGGAGGCGATACATGCGGTACAACCCCGACCTCAACAATCACGCACGGTGGCGGCACACACCCATCAAGTAAAAAACAAAAAAAGAAAAACACGGCGGCAGGGTGTGGCTGTGTGTGTGGCGCTGCGGGTGTCTGCCAGCCCTGGCCGCAAAGAAAACAAAACAAGAGGGAAGAAATGTGTGCTCCGCCCCACAGGCACTCGTCGCACGCCCACACGTCACGGCTCCCTCAGCGCGCCGTTCGTCGCGGCCCCTCCTCATGCGTGCAGCAGGCGAGGCGCACAGGGCCGTCGTCACGAGCGTGTCGGTGGGTGTGCGAGTGGAGCAGTTGGGCGGGAACACACGGCACCCCTCGCAGGAAGAGTGCAGCAACAAACAATTAAAAGAGTAGAAAAGAAAAAACGTCCATCGTGATTGCCCCAAAAGCAAAAAAAGAAGATATGGGGAATGAAAAATAAAAAAAACAGACGAAAATTAATAACAGAAAAAAAAAAGTTTTTAAGGACACACACTCGCACACACGCAAAAAAATTATGAATTACAAACAGAAAGCAAGAAAAGAAAATTATCTTAAGGAAAAAGTTAGTTCTTGGAATTAATTCCGTGCAGGGGAGGTCGCAATTGCTCCACGCGGCAGCCAGTCACGCCTCACAGAGACGCAAAACCCCACAGTCCCAATAGAAAAAGAAGTGGCAGCAGTCCGCTCCCACGTACAGTGCCGGCATCGGTGTTATTCCCCTGCGACACATTCCCGAGACTGCTGTTGAGTGCCGCAGCCTTTACGTCCCCGTTCTGTGCGTGGATCCCCTTCTGCCTATCCGTTCCTCCTTCTCTTGTCTCCACCGTTGGCTCGCCATCAGAAAAAGAACCGCCATCCACATTTTTACGTCCATCGGAAGACTTTTCTGACGCCAACTGGGTTGCAGGCCCCTCTTCTCCTGAGGAAGTCTTGGCACTGGACACTGTTGGTGCGGATACACCGTTCACACCACTGCTCTCCATCGACTCTCTCGGTTCCTCCGGTCGTCCACCACCAGGAGCAGTCTCAATCGCGCCTCCTTCAATAGAAGCCTCATTCACTGCAGATGGAGTAGGAGCTTTATTCGGGCTGAAGGCGGCCATCTCCGCTTCATCCCACGGGCGGTTGTACAGCAGGACGTTCGTCACAGTCACAGACACGCCCTCTTTGTTGGCTGCGTTTTCTCCATCCCCTCCAATGTAGAAGTGGGAGATCTCGTTCGACTCACCATTGCCCAATGCACATTCTCCATTCCCCACACGCTGACCATCGACGTAAACGGAGCCCTGGGTGCCGTTCTTCAACAAAACCACCACGTGTTGAGGTGTCCCTGCCTCCCACGTGCTGCTGAGCTTCGTCGTCGTTTTGTCACCGCACAGCACATGCCACTTCTTTCCGCTGTCGTATGACAACTCCAGAAGTACATTATTTCCATCGCCATTCATCTTCACACCCACCAACGGAATGGGGGTGTCTCCCTCCGGCATTTTGTCGATGGACACCGTCGCCACAAGAGTGAAGTTGTAGTTCGCAAAGTGGTACAGCTGATTCTCCCCCTGCTTGCCAACAGGCCACTCCGCCCCTGCGCCACGCCCAGTGAACTTCACACCCTTATCCGTGCCGGCCACTGTTGCCGCTGCTGCCCCTTCTTTATTATTATTTACTGCGGCGTTCACGCCGAGGTACTCGTCCCTCCATGTGTCACCGGAAAAATTGCCCGACAAAAAGCCAACCAGCCCAGCCGTGATCTTTACAGCGTTGCAGACATCGTCAGTTGAGGGATCCTTCTCAGCAATTAATGAGGTGCACAGCTGGGAGACACGGCCGTCCACCTCCTTCCAGGTCGTCAGCACATCCTTCACACGCTGCAGCTTCTCAGTCAGAAGCACAGAGACCATACCGGGTGATGGTTGCTCACTGCCCTTCTTCTTCTCGTACAGTGCAATCAACTTCTCATCATTATCACCACTGTTTTTACCACTGTTGTACAACAGGGAGCTGGCGGCAGCATCCTCACCTTCACCGGATACCTGCCCAATATCAACAATGTGCGTATTGTCCGTCAGCCAAAGATGGAGTTTGCCCTTTTCGTTGCCTTCCTCGGCATACACCGGCAGAGTGACGAGCATCACTTTTTTATCATCAACACCGTCAATCGTCGCTGTGATGAACCCGCTTCTAACGCCACTTACGCCCTTTTTGTTGCCCCACACGCGCGAGAGTGTCCCGAGGGCCTCCGTCCACGACTCCCCCTTGTCACCGATCTCGTACACCCTGCGAGGGCCATCACCACACGCAGTCATCATCATGAGTTTTCCCTCCTCCCACTCCACGACGGAGGGATCGCTGCAGCCACCGTCAGACATCCCCTTCGACAGCGTCCAATTCGTAGTATCCTTCGACTGTATGATCAGTGAGACAGTCTTCACATTCACTAGAGTGCCCTCCGCCGCCTTCTTCGTGCCTTCCACAGGAAATACAAGAGTCTCATCATGCATCTTAACACCCGATCCACCGCTTCCAATCAGCCTTGTCCAGGAATCGAGCTGTGCACCAAAAAGTCCTTGCAAGGAACTTTCAGTAACTTTCCAGTCAATTTTTTTGCTACTTGTATCCACGCTACTGACGCTCCCTTTCAACAGCAAAAGTCCCAATTGAGCCGCGTCAGGCTTGGCATCCTCTCCAGGAACGGCAACTTTATTGTAGGCTCCAACAAGCATGTAAATATCATTCCCCTTCAAAACTGTTGTTGGTCGGCTCACATCCACTTTCTTCTTTTGGTCTTCGGAAGCACCTTTCTCCAGCACTTGTGTCCCATCTTTTGATTCTTTCAGTACTTCCTCCGGTGTGTCAGCAGTTTCTTTCGTGAGAAGTTGGGATGCAACGCCAGTAAAACCGACACCACCGTTCTTGCACTGCGCCTCGGCAACGGCAAACACGTCACTCCCCACTTTTAGAAGGCTGGGAGCACCCAACGAGTCCACAGTTTCACCTTCATTCTCATTGATGCCCCTCCATTCAAACTGAGGACCAGATGACGGCTCCTCCACAACAACTTGTGCAGCTCCACTGCCGCAGCACACCATCACGACGAGGAGGAGCACCGCAGAGTAGAAGAGATGCCGGGACATGTTGGGCCTCTGCGGCTCACTCTCTCCTCCTTCCCTCCTCCTCCCGCTGGATCCGGTCACGCGGCGACGGTTGTGTGTGCGGGGTGCCATGACTGCAGCAACACGTGAGAGCATACAAATATATGTGTGGGCGGTGTGTGCTGTTGGTCCTTTCAGTGCCTTACAATCTCACAGTGGCGATTAGCGCTTGTTGTTAACTTCTTTCCTTTGTGTGTGGGTAAGAGAAAGAAGTTAAGAAAAAGGAGTGAAACAGTGAACACCGCCAGCGTCCACAGTGAGTGGCATCATCATCGTCATCCCTGCCGCAGTCACCCTCAACAACAACTCACGCACACAGACACATGAAACGAGAAGAATGAACGGTGCAGCGGGAACACACAGCGACGGTCATCACCAGCGGCAGCAGCAGGAGCCACGCCCGGCACGTCGTTATTCGTCACGCGTCAGCACACACTGAACAACGCCCTCACTAAAAGAAAAACCAGCAGGATAAAAAAAGCACAGCCGCCCTTCACGGCACACACGCGCTGCCGCCAGTCGTTTTACTCTTGTCTCTTCCAACGCACCCGCACATCGCCCCGCACAGCCGGTGAATCCTCCGTCGGCGTACGAACAGCGGGAGGAACACGTCAAACCGTGCAGCTGCTGGGCTGAAGCCCATCCGCAATAATCCCAGACACCAAAACGCCACGCCGCCCATGGGCAGCAAGCACAGGAAACCACGCTCGCAGCACGGCAACATAACAATTCGCGGTCATCCGTCATCCCTCCTCGCAAGGGCAGCCGCAGCAAGAATCGTGTACGTGCGTGCGTCCTCAGCGTTCACGCCGCCCCACAGCGTGCGCAACATGGCGTGTGCATCTGCTAGTGCGTTTGTCAGCGTGTACACCTGCAGAGCAGCTGTGCGGCACAAGAGAGTCCCAACAAAGCAAAGATAGGAAGAAGCGGATAGCACACATGCAGATTACTCTTACCATCAAACACACACACGCAGCCGGCGGAATGGGTGCACTCAACAACAACACAATGAAAAATAAAACAAAAAGAAGCGTGGGACGACCAGCGCACACACACTCTCATTGCTCCCGTAAAGCAAAACACACACACAGGGAGAGAGAAAGAGGTCGCCCACTCAATGCAATGGAAACAAAACAGAAACAGTTACGGTGCTCCGCCCATGCAGCCAGGCAGGACGGCAGCGGTGCGTGTCGTGCAGAAGAGAGCACCAACGGGCCTGCATGGGTGTGCATGCATATATACAATGGGCACATTATGTGTGTGCCTCGTGGGGTGAGGTGAGGGCGAGAGTCCATGCAAGGGGACACACACACAGAGAGAGAAGGACGAGTGTGTGTGCGGGCGGTGCACGGCTCTCTCCCTCACTCTCACGCGGCCACCACCGCAGCAGCAGCCGCACACGCAACAAGAAGAAGCAGAAGAGGGGAGGTGGTGTGCGACACCGCGGTGCTGCCGTCACCGTCACCAGTCTCGTTTGTCTCACGTTTTCGGGTGGTGACTGTTTCTACTGTTTGAGGTGCTGCCTCACTGACTGTAGGAGCGACGTTGGTATTGCCAGCTTCGGCGTCGTCCTGCACTCTGTTGGGTATGGGCTGCCGAGCATCATCCTCATCCTCCTTATTCTGGACATCGCCATTTCCATTTGCAGAGATGAATGTTGCTGTTGTTTCCGCTAAACCACCGGCAGATGCTTTTTTCGTCGTATTCAATTGCGTTGTGACTTTATCTTTTTGCTCCTGCATACCATCCCTTGAAGGACGGTCCGGTGATTCGGACCCCGTTTTGTTGGGTGACGATGCCTTGCTCTGCAGTTCTCTTTGTGAGGCCTCTGAGGCTCTTGGTGCTGTTGGTAGGCTTCTTTGTCCGTCCGGATTTGCCTGCACAGGAGTTACTGGTGGCACTTCTGGGGATAGTTCTGCTGATGGAACTGGCAGTAGTACTGCCGGTGTTTGTGGTAATAATAGCGTTTTTTCTACTGTTTGGTCGCCGGTGTTAGCAAACGAACTGGAAGGATCGTCCGTCTCCACGTCACTTTGCTTTGCCTTGTTTCCGGCTGCACCCCCACTAGCATCTGAGAATTTTGATTTCTCTTGTGTATTCGGGGGCAGTGATCCTGCCTTGGATTCTGGTCCCTTTAGTGCATTCACGTTGGGCAATGGTAACCCTGCAGGCATTGTCTTTGACCGCTCAACGTTTTCTGAAGATTGCGTGTCCTGCGAAGATGGTGCATCGAGGGCGGGAGATAAAAAAGTACCATCCGCAGAAAGGGAAGAATCCGAGAAATCACCTCGAGGACTGCCAATGTCGACTCCGCCTTTTCCCGCTCCACCATAGAAAGAGCCAGTTTCACCATCGTAACCTAAACTCCCAAAAGCAGATTGACTGCCACCATTAAGAGCAAGAGTCTCCAAATTCGAGCCTCCACCTCCAATGGAACTTCCACTTCCGTTGGAACCTCCTCCAGAACTGTCGGCACCAGGACCGCCACCGGGTTGAGTTCCATCCGATGCTGCTGGTGGTGGTGGTGGTGATTGTAGTGGTGCTGGAGAAAGAGGTGAAGGTGGTGGCAGTACTTCTTCTTCTTCTTGGGTTTGACCATCAGGTGCCCCTTCTTGTGCTTTATCTCTTACTTCCTTTTCTTTATCCGTACCATCGTCTTCATTATCAACCACGCCAAAGACTTTATCATCTGTTTGGTGCTTTGGCGAAGGGACTTCTAAATCTTTAACCAACGGTTGCCTCACGAGATCGGAATCTTGATTAATTGGCTCCGCGTGCTGTTTCCCTGCACCAGCAACAGGAGTTACAGGCTGCAAATCCCCCGATGATTCTTTTTCTCTTCAGTAACCCGAACATGCTCGTCACATCTACCGCCAGGAGTACCGCACCACAGCACGCAGAGGGCACACACCAGCAGCACACGGCCAGTCATCATCATCGCCATCACTCCTGTCACTTGCGTGCAGCCTTCAGCACAAACCAACTCCCCGTCAACGCAGAGCGAAAGCAAAAGAAGAGACAAGTCGCAGCAGCCACACCACACACAGTCGCCGCACAGCAACACATGATGGCAGCAGCTTGCCCACAAAAAATGAGACAGTTGGAATCTGCACGACTCCCGGAAACAATGAAGGAAAATAATTCGGCAGGACCTTTATTTCATTTGCCATGCAGCGCAATAGAAACGACCGTGGGTTTCTGTATATACATATATTGCCTGCGCAACGAAAACTAAAGAAAAATTTCGTACTGTTCCACCAGCCCACACAACAACCCTCACATTTCATTGCAGCATCCGGCCTGTTCCTCCGCTCCTCCTTTCGTGCAGTCCGTGGGACGCACAGCAATGAGGCCGGCACCGCGTGTAGGCAAAAAAGAAGCAAACAGGAGGGGGAAACAAATCACTCATCACGGTATTTATCAACCAAACACTGCGTAAAGAAAAACACAACGGTACTGATTATAACAGACAAACTGCATTAAAGGCAACATTGAGAAGCAAAAACATTGAAAGAATCAACAAACAGCAAAAAATTAAAAGATAAATGAAAACGGCGGCATAAAAAAGAGCGAGGAAAGCGGCACGTATTCTCCGTGAGGAGTCTCAAATCCACACTCTGCGGCTCAGAAGACTGCCACCCCCCAAACACAATCCCAGAAGCAGCAACACACAAGACACACACACGCACGGTGTTGTTACCGCTCAAATCACGCAGTGTCCATTTCACGTCGTTGGGAGAGGGCGAGGCGGTCGTCGGGACTCACGCCGCTCCAGACCCCGCGAGGTGACTTTTTGTAATGGGGATTCATGTCCAGTGGCATTGCGTTGTGTCCATTCATTTCTCTTCGGTAATATCCCCAGCAATGTGCTCTCTGACGCTGTCAACCACTCGAACCTTCTCGGGTGGTGTCGGAGTCGCTTCCCTCGTCGGAACGGGGACCCTGTCCTTGAGTGCACGCATCGCAGTGAAATTCAGTGGGCGGCTGTACGGAAAGACGTTCTCCACCGTCACATGAGATTCGTGCCCACCGCACGCGCCAAAGCAAAACCTCAGGACCTCAGGTGGCCTCTCGCCCGTTAACGGTACCTCTTCCTCCCCCAGCGAATGATCATCAATGTGCGCAGAGGCCTTGTTGCCTTGCAGCATGAGTGCCACTTGGCATTCTTTCTTCGGCTCCCAAGTGCTGCTCCGTGTTGTTGTCTTGCCTTCGCACACCGTCTCCCACCTATTATTATGGCTGCACGACAGTCCCATGGTATGATTGGACTCAGTGTGCGCCAGCACCGCAGTCAGTAGAGGAATGTTCCCACTCGGAGCCTCTTCGATGGTCACCGACGCCACAAGTGTGAAGTAGTGGCTCAAAGATACATGACGCACATTATCACCCCGAGCGTTCACAGGCCATATTGCCCTGGACTCAAGTCCCGTCACTTGTGACCCATCGTTGTCCTTCACTGTATTTGTCACCGTTACATTCAAGCAAAGGTACTCGTCGTTCCACGTGACATCACTGGCCGCATCGGACAAAACTGCCACCAGCCACGCCGTGGGTGTAGACAAGCTGGAGAAGAAAACGTCCTTTTGCGACCAAGTGCTGAGGACGGACTCGATTGTACTCACTTCCTCCGTCAGGCGGGAAAGTGAAATGACACGGCCCTCACCACTGCCCCTCCCTTGTAAAAGATGCAGATTGCCATCCGAGTGCAGCAGGGTGCTGGTGAGCAACTAATCCGCAGCATTGTCCATGCCAACCGGTCCAACAGAAAGCGTGCAGTTGTTGTCCGTGACCCAGAGGCAGAGCGCAGTGGACCTTTTCTTCCTCGAGGCGTGCCCTCTCTGAGTGTACGGCATGACCTCCCGTTCCTCAATGGTCGCGGTGATGAGGGCATCCACACGCAGGTTTTCCTTCTGAGAGACTCCCGATCGTGCGTTGACCCATACGCCTGAGAGTTTCCCGATTGCCTCCGTCCACGCTGTCCCCATGTCACGCGACTCCTACACCCTCTCGTCATCCTCGAAGTCAACAACCATGAGAAGTGATCCCTCCCACTCGGTGACGCAGGGTTGTGGCATTTCGCAGGGGAAATGCCCTCA